GGCTAAAAATCTGCATGGTGGAGCCTGATTGGAGCAAGTGGGCAGTCCAATCGACATTTGGGATCGTGAAGTATGGTGGTGTGACCCCAGAAATCCCGGTGAATCTCGGCCGCCGCTCTTGATCGTGGGTTCTGAGCTTCTGGCCGTGGAGACGCATTTATGGCCTGGATAGCTGGTGAACCAATATCTCAGGCTGTCAGAATTCTTGTGAGAATGTCCACGTCTAATCACTCTGATCCTCATCACCAAATCCTGACTTCAGTCACTTCCCACCTTCCCTCATGCATTAAATGCTTCTTTGTGGCCAGTGGGTTTGCTGCATTAAACAGGCACTACTTCATTAAATGAAGCCTGGGACCCTGCTGTCACGTGATGATTTGCCTTTAATGCCTTGGCCGTGATTTTGTTCGGCCTCGGCCTCGGCCTGCGCTTGAGGCCGAGATGATCATGCCTTAGCATTTCTTCTTTTGTCTTTAGGAAGGCGAAGTACCCTGGCAAAACGCTGCGTTTCAGTTTTTACGAACAAGTGCCAGGGCCGAGAGAAGGGGCTCCTTCGGCCAGCTTATGACCGTGATTTATCAGGCACAAACAGAATGTTGTTGGGTCGGTGGCAACCGAACAGGTACTTCTTACCAAGATGGTCATGGAAGGGACTCCAAGGCGGATGAAGCTTGACACAAGGGTTGAAGAAGATGAGTATCAACAATAGACTCATAAAGGGGTTCTACTTGAGGTGGAGCCTCTATCACAAGCAAGGTCTGAGGCTAAGGAATTCATCAACCCGTCCCTAGGTTTTGGATGGATGGACAAAGAAGATTCAATTACATTTTGAAGTGCTTTGGGGAGCATGAAGCAAGAAGGTTCGATGGGTGCTTTGATGAACAATTGTTCATGGTTGATTGATGGTTTGCCAAGATGGAGATTGTTGTGTTTTGGCTCACCATTGATGTGTGGAAGGAAGAAGGAATCCAAGGCGTTGCCAGAAGGAGCAACGGGAAGGAAAAGAAGAAATCGCAATGAAGCTATATCATCAGGCGACTGGTTGCATTGATTAAGCGATCGGTCGGTTTGTGGCCAAGAGCAACGTTCTCGAAGAAAGAAGTCATTGTGCCAAAATGACCAGTCACTAATAATAAGCGACCGGTCGCCCCATGTTTTTCCAATCGACGTGTTTTGGGCTTTCAGAGGGTTTTAGGCAAGTTTTAGTCTAGTTTGACTAGGTTTTAAGTCTTCTACTCCTAAGGGAGAAACACAAGACAGAATTCAAGGGTGAATTTTCAAGGGAGAAACACAAGATAGAATTCAAGGGTGAATTCTTGAGTGTTTACAAGGGCATCAAAGGTTTTGAGCAAATATGAGTGAAAAGAGAGCTAGGGTTCTTGTGAGAGCTAAGGGGGTTCTTGATTGTAACCAAAGTTGTTCTTAAATACTAATGAATTTCTCGAGTAGATCCCCAAGAGGACATAGGCACGAGGCCAAACCTCTATAAATCTTTGTGTTCTTGTGTGTGTTTATTTTCTCTCTTCGGTATATGTGTTTTATTCTCAAGGGGTTTGTGTGTGCCATCACAAAGTCCATCAACGACAAGGTCTTAGAGTGTTTCCACACAACAAAGCAGATATATATGTCTTGGGTTTTCAGGAAATTGTCTATTTAAATGCTAAAAATGTGCTAGTTCCACAAGATAATGAACTTGCAACAAATGGCTTGCTTTAATCAATCAGCTCCAGAATAAAATCACCAAATAGGTCTTCAAGAATCAAGGGCGATGGTTCACTATTTTCCTCGAAGCTTTCCCCTAAAAAGTTCAGTAAGACTTTAAGAACAAAGAGCAAATGAGGTTGAAGAGTTGCACCTTCAGTTTTGAACCAGATGAAAATGGATATCAAATGTTTTTGATACATCGAAAATTTTAATGGCGTCTACTAGCAACTATTTTAAGTACAACCTTATAGCTAGCAAACAAATTGTGCGAATTTTTGTTACCATTTGGGCGAGGAAGTAGTATATACAATTTGTTAGCCACTTAAGAATCTCTTGCATAAGTCGTGGAATCATGGGATGCCTTGGAAAACAAGGGTTATATTTCTTTAAGTTTTTATTTCATAAGACAAACTTTTGCTCTGTATGCAGTCACTTGGCCATCTTGTTAGAAAGAGGGGGAAGAGTTCAGGAGAAATTTAGATGTGTTAAAGATATTTAAGAGCACTCAATTTCCTAAGATTTTCAAAACAACTCATCGCATGATGTGGAATAAAATTCTAGGACATGACGTGGTCATATGGTTAGGGGACTTCAATTACAACATTACTTTGAGTTATTCTGAAACCGAAAGCTTTTG